TTGTGGGGTTTGGGGTCTCTTTGGCCATGTTCTGAAGGTTGTTCAGAGCCTTCAGAACACGGCAAAAGAGCCCGAAAAACCCACAACAACCCAATTAAATTGTTCATTTGGGCAGGAAAATAAATAACACTACATATAGGGATGTCTAATGTGTATCCTGACACCATCTGCTTTAATTCAGAGGTTAGGAAAAATAATAATAAGTAATAATAATAAGTAATAAGTAATAATAGTAATGAGTAATAATAAAAAATAATAAGTCCCAGACTTTTTTAGTTGATTTAGACAGTGACATGCTGTCACTGCGTACAGGGATTCTGGAAGATGTAGTACGCTGATTTCAGCTGAATATTGGTGCGTAAAGAAGAAATAAAGAGGAAAAAGCACATGTTAAAAATAAACCAATTAACATGGAAAATACCATCAACAGATCACACGGAGATGTGCTGCCATGAAAGAGTGAATGATGGAGGCAGAACTTGAAAAAGTTACTTTTACGTGCTCTACTCTTTTCATGGAACACTCTGTCTACAGTTTTATAAAGTTGACCTTGTCGCTTTGCATTTCACGCTGGGGGTGCATCCTGCAAAATGGAAATAAGACTAATGCTTTGTCTCCATGAAGCCAGACTTCTGGTGCCCAGTTTATCTTCCTGGGGGGGAGGCCAGAGTTCCTAATCATTATGCTAAGTCTCTAAACCTTGATTGCCTCCTCCTTCCCATTAGGTTGGCAAACAGTTTTAACAGCAGGTGTTAAGACAGGCCTCCCTATATATAAACACTTCCAGGCTCATTTGCTCTAGAGCCACTTGTGTTGCGCCTTTGTGTTGCTTGCTGACTCCTTGTAGCCACGGTTATCAGGATGGTGTGGAGCCTTCTTCGCCTTCTTGCCTTCCTTTTCTTCCCCTTGCCCACAGCACCCACCCATCTGCCCATTGGACCATGGATCTTGTCTTTGACAAACCACAATGCCAAGGAGGTGGCATCGCTCAGAGGCCCAGCATCATCAGCCAACCTGGAGCAGTCGGTAAGTGCAAAAAACATGTCTACTACTACTGCTGCTTCTGCTACCAACAACATTTCCCTACATCCTGGTTGTTGTAATTTAGAGTGGAGGATCCCAGCTCTGTGTAACCCAAGTGTTCTTGGGCTGTAGCTCCCAGAAACCTCAGCGAGCACAGCTGGGGAGAAGGCTTTGGGAATTGCAGTCCAAGAACATCTGGGTTACACAGAGTTGGGAACAACTTCCACCTTACAAGATCTACTTTATTTTAGTATTTGTCTTAGAATCCAAGACCTACTGGCAGGAGCTTGGAAACTCTACTTTTTTTTAACTTTCCTTCCACTATTGTCCTGCTGCCTGGAAGATATTGGGGCATGTAATTCAAAAACCTAAATTTTCTAAGCACTGTCAGAATATGCAAAATCCATGCACTGGGAATTGCAGAATTCTGAGCCCAGGTATTTGTTTCAAGCACTAACTGAACAGGGTTCACAGTTCTTCCTACTCTTCCCTCCCATTCCCATTTTATTTCATTTCGGCAATATAATGCAGGGTTCAAGAATCATGTTCCTGCTGCTGTCATTAAACAGTCTGGAGGCAGAGGTCTATTTCAAATCATCCAGAAATTTGTTTGTGACCTGCTTCTGCTCATTCAGAGATCTCTTGGTAGATCCTCCATACTCAAGGGAGATGCATTATATTCAAATAATAAAAATGATTTCTAATTTTGCATCTGACTACGTATATAAATCAGCATATCCCGTTTATGCAAAGCAGTGTCCTCTCCTACCTTCTATTTTTCGGTCATGTGCATCTTTTTGGCAACTAATAAATGGCCTTTCTAATATTAGATTCAGAGTTAAACTGGTTTGAAAGGCCAGGATTTTCAAGTCCAAAAGATAAGACTAGCCATCTGATCTGACTTCTCTACTTACCCCATTTCGTTTGCAGAATACTGTGTGTGACTCAGAGACAAGATGCCCCCAAGGCTTCTTCTGTGACCATCACTTTGGCCTCTGCCTAACCCTCAGGAAAGAAGGTGAATACTGCCGTCGGAATAACCACTGTGCCAAGGGACTCAGCTGTATGTTTGGCAAATGCCAGGAGACTATACCAAATGGGCAGGAAGGTAAGCAGCTGGGACTGTCCTGCAGTGCTTTCTCCACTGTCAAACCAAAGCTAATTCATTTCTGATGTGCAGGCCTTATAATTACACAAATCTCTCTATCTAATGTGTTATTCTTGCATTTTTACTACCAGGGATGGGGGAAAGTGCTTGTGGGATTTTCTGATTCATGCACCAAAACAGTTTGGTTTCTTTGAATATATGTACCGTGTTTCCCCGAAAATAAGGCAGGGTCTTATGTTAATTTTTGCTCCAAAAAACGTATTAGGCTTATTTTCAGGGGAAGTTTTATTCTTTTCATGTACAACAATCTACATTGATTCAAATACAGTCATGTCATCTTCTTCTGGTTGCTGCACAATGGTGGAAGGCGGGGTTTCACTTAACTAGGGATTATTTTTGGGGTAGGGTTTATATTACAAGCATCCTGAAAAAAATCATACTAGGGCTTATTTTCAGGGAAACAGGGTACTATTCTTCCCGCGGAGTCTTTTTGGGTGGTGGTGGTGGAATGCCATTTCTTGCTACTCTGCCAATATAGTCTCTCTCAGTTACAGATTGGAAGGTACGAGCTTTGAATAGTAAAAATCACAATAAAAAAGCATGCTTTGGCAAATTTGTAGAGTAGCTTTCAAAAAGCAGATGGATTAGGTTACAACTCCCATTGGCCACACTGTCTAGGATGATAGAGGTTATGGCCAGATGCATCTGAAGAGTCTCAGGCTGGAGAAAGTTATATTAAATGTGAAGCTGGAAGCAGATTTAGATTGAGACCATTGGCTATTCTCCTGGGGACATAGGGAAGGGCAGCAAGGCAACCTAGAGAGCATCAACTTAATAGTGGCTGTCCTCTCTCTCTCTCTCTCTCTCTGTGTGTGTGTGTGTGTGTGTGTGTGAGAGAGAGAGAGAGAGAGAGAGAGAGAATACAGCTGTCAATTTGCCTTCCTCTATTTTTCATATTGTGAAGCGGCTTAATAAGACAGCCATTTCATGAGATCCCCAAAATGTTCATTCAAGATCATTTGGTTCTAACTGTTAATCCTCTCTTCCATATCCACTGTAGGTGCCCACTGCCTGGAGGATAAAGACTGTGCTCCCAGCGCCTGTTGTGCCCGCCTCCACGGAGAGATGATTTGCCAAAGGCGACTGCTTTTAAACGAAAGGTGCTACGTCCCCCAAGGAGGACTTGGGTTCAGCATGAACCAGGTGTGCCCTTGCCAAAAAGGACTAGTATGCAGAAAGATGACACCACACCGAGAGTGAGTAGTGGTGCGGACAGGAGGGACAAGGAAGGGAGGGTGGTTCGCAACTCATCATACAAATGTCTAACCTTGACAAAGGGCCCTTGAAGCAAGCTGCTTTTCACAATAAATGTTCTGTTGAATGGCTAGATTGACTTGGGTAGGTGCCTCGGGCAGCAAATTTTCCATGGAAAGGATATGACTATTTAGGCCTAAATCTATGTGGTAGTGCCAACAAAAATAGCCCCTTGAACCAACTGCCAAGTGGCAAGTCAATATTTATATAAATCCTGTTGATCCAATGTGATACCCAGTATTGTGTAGTGAAAAGATGATGGACTAGGACTGAAACCCACTGGGAGTGTGGAACTAGTAAAACTACAGGTATTTCTTAAATATCCCACTTCCCTTGAAAGCCCTATTAGGGTTATTATAAGTCGGTTCAGACTTAACAGCACATAAAAACAACAACACTGATTCAATAAATCTACTGTAGCTGGAATACTAGTCAGATTCAGAATAATAGTTACAATTATTGTATTATTTTTACAATAATTTTAATCGTGTATTTTGACTACCAGAGAGAAATTCAAGTGAGTTTTTCGGTCTCGCATGCCAAAATAACTAGGTTGGCCGTAGGTGCCTATATGTTTTGAATGGGTGGGTGGGTGTGCCATTTGCTGTTCCATCACAAGCAACAAAATATTTTGGGATAGTTCTGGGAGCATGCTCCCAAATTATCAGAGCGCAGTTCTCCATAAACTGCAGAGCTCAGCTCAGAGGTTGCTACCCAAATGATGACTGTCAGCTTGGGCGGCTTTAAAGGGAGAGTGGACAAATGCATAGGGAATAAGGCTAGAACAGCTATTCATCATTATGGCTACGTGTTGTCATCCACAGTAACAGAGGCAGTGTGTCCCCATTATAGTACTGGGGAACAAGAGAGGAGGAGGAGGAGGAGATAGCCCTCATATCCAGCTTTTGGTTTCTCAGACACATAGGGCTGGCCACTTGAGGAACAGCATAGCAGACCGGACAAGCTTTTGGCCTGATTCAGCACAACTCTTCTTATGTTTTTATATTCTCCACTAGCCAGGGAGCAATTCACACCCAATCAGAGCATATACTGTGAGCCAGCTAAGCTGCAGCAAACCTAACCACTCACTTCTTCTGTCTTCCTTTGCTATCTATTGAAGATTCCTGTGTGATAACAACAATCTTTCCCCTTCATTGGTCAGTCCAATAAACATTCTCTCTCTTCCTCTCCTTCCCAGGGTGCCGTTTGAGTACTCGATAGACAGAAGTGACTGGAGATGCCAAAAGAATTAAGAAGGAAGCACAGAGTGCTTGCAATTTCTGTATTTATTTCATGTAAATAGCACTGTAAATAGACCTGTTCTCTCCTTTTTGTTCTGTTGAATGTTTGCAAATAAACATATCGGAACTGTGTGACCAAATAATGTGCAGATGGAGTAATTCATAAAAGGACAAATCAATAATGTTTCCAAAGGTTGTATCAGCAACAGAGACTAAAGGGCAACATATAGCCCTACACATGTCCACTCACTGTGTTCTGATAGGGTGACTCTGAAGAAACTGTATGGAAGATTGCAGCCTTAATCCAGAAATACATTCCAGAGCTCTGTCAGCTCTTAAATGCCTTTATTCTGCTTACCGGGCTACCCTATTTCCATTACCTTGCAAGGTTGAGTAACAAGGTAAGGTAAAGGGTTCCCCTTGACAATTGTCCTGTCATATCCAACTGTAGGGAGTGGTGCGCATCCCCATTTCTAAGCCATGGAGCCCGTGTTTGTCCATAGACAGTTTCCGTGGTCACGTGACCAGCATGACTAGACACGGAACGCCATTACTTTCCCATCGTAGTGGTACCTATTTATCTACTCGTATTTTTATATGCTTTCGAACTACTACCATGCTGCACAATGGTGGAGGGCGGGGTTTCCTTTAACTGGGGCTTATTTTGGGCTTATATTACAAGCATCCTGAAAAAAATCATACTAGGGCTTATTTTCAGGTTAGGTCTTATTTTCGAGGAAACAGGGTAGGTTGGCAGGAACCTATTTCCATTACCTTGCAAGGTTGAATAACAAGGTACTAGATAACAAAACAATAGCAGTGGCCCTAAATGGCTTGGATCCCCATTTAGAAAAATTATCCTTTTAACAGTGCATTGTGCAACATTCATATTAAGGACGAGGTTGCATTTTGTTGTTGTGACTGTTATATTGAGTTTTTTAAAAAAAATTATTATAGCCCCCAGAAACCTCTAGGGCACATCATGGTTCCCTGGTGGGTCCCATTGCATTCCTAGAAACACTTTATTTTGTACATTTGGGAAATTCATTTTGATACTATGCTAAATTCATTTTGATACTATGCAAACCCTAAATTCATTTTGGTACTATGCAAACCCTTACTTATATTTTGTCACCTAGGTTTTTCTAGGTTTTCTGATGAGATGTTTTAAAAAGTGTGATTAATTCTCCAATAATTTAGGATGTTTGGAAACAATAATTTAGGATGTTTGGAAACAAAATAAAATGAACACTTGTTAGCACCCACCTATTAGTTGCAGAGTGAACCACTATTGATAAGGCCTTTAATTAAAGCAGAAGGGTAACACCTTTAAAAGCAGCTTCGAAAAGATTGTTCTTGGGAAACAATGTGGGTGATGGTTGCAAGTAGAATAACATTGCAAGCAAGCATTATTTACAGATGGGGGTATAGCTCAGTGGTAGAGCATTTGACTGCAGATCAAGAGGTCCCTGGTTCAAATCCAGGTGCCCCCTTCTTTTTAAAATAAATTCAGAAAATTTAATTTCTCAGCTAAATAAGTAGTCAAATTTCTTTCTCTGCAAACACAGAAACTTCTCATGCAGTAAACTGCTTTACAGGCATTGGATATACACATGAGAATGTGGCGTCATTCCTTATCTCCATCATTCTTAGTGCAGAAATAGAAATCTTTAAATCTCAGATATTATGTAGTGGGAGAAATCACACTATTGTATTTAAGAGAACAGGAGGAGTGCAGAGCGTAAACAGACATGTAAATATTACAGTTTCAATTCTGTAAAGTCTAATCTCGGTGGTTTCACAAAGGATTTCCTGTAAAGATTATTTTGCTGAGTTTGAAATATAGCTGAAGTGACAGAGCACTTGCTTTGAAACCAAGCTATACTTACTAGAAAATGCATTGAAAACCATTAGATCACATTTTTAAAGAAGCCATATCTTTTTAGCTGTAAAATCTTACTGGGAAGCAATGATATAGACAAATCACCATGTGCTCTCTCAAATACAGTATCAGGAATTCAACACAAGACAGAGTTAATGGGAGGGATAAGGGAATCAAATCAGGACAGCTGATTTTGGGGGAAAAGCATCATGATGATGATAAGCCTAGAACTGCAGAGCTGGAAGGGATCCTACAAATTATCCAGTCCAGCCCTTGTCCGGAAGGCACATTGGGAAATTGAACTCCTAACTCAGATGCCTAAACCATTGAGCTATCCAGCAGTTCCTAATTGATTCTTAATTCATAATTGATCCCTGGGAGCAAAATGTCACTATGTATTTTATTGTGGTTTTATACTGTATTTAAATCAATTTATTCAGAAATATGCTGAAGGTTTATATACTGTGATATATTCCACAACTGGATCTTTCACATACCTTTTCATAATTTTATTTTCCTTAAAGGCTATATATGTGGGTAGGTAATTTGGAGTAACTGCTAGTCCTGAGAACACGTGTACTGCAGTGGTTAGAGCATATGACTGGGTCATGTGAGATCCAAGAGCAAATCTCCCATGGAGCCATAAAACTCACTGGCAGATCTTGTGCAAGGCACTGTCTTTTGACCCGATCTACCTCACAGGGTTGTTGTAAACAGATCAGTGGTTCTTAACCTTTGTTATTTGGATGCTTTAGAACTGCAACTCCCAGAAACCCCAGTCAGGACAGCTGGTGGTGAAGGCTTCTGGGAGTTTCAGTCCAAAACTCCTGAGTAACCCAAGGTTAAGAACCAGTGGTGTAGATAAATGGGAATGAAGAGAGCCATGTATGCTGCCTTTAACTTCCTGGAGGAAAAGAAGAATATCTATGTAGGTGACTGATAAATAAAAATATGTATTAATTAATGTAACTAATAAATTAGATACATATACTTGCCACCACATGTGGTGACAGAGAACATACAGAGTGTACTGTCTTCCCTTCCAGTGGTTAGTAACAACTCTGGGGAGTGAGGTAATGTGCATTGGAACAGGATGATGGCTAGCTGGACGCTGTCACTAGTCCCTGTGTACCAAACGTGCAATGCAAATAATGCCCCTCAGCTGTTTATAGGGAAAGATTAAACAGGAAGATTCAATCATAGCTTTTTCCACACAACACTTTCATTTAAGAACATTTTAAAAGGAAGAAAGTGCATTGTTTTAACGAATGTAGCAAGAGAAAAATGCATGAACCACCTCTGCACTAAGAAAGATCTTCCGAAAAAAACACTGATCAGTCTTAAAATATTAACCAATTGGTGTTTTCAGGCATTAGCTATACCATTTTGCTGGTGTTTTCCCCAGCATTTTACTCCAGGCTTCTTTGTTCTGGATTTAACTGTTGAGAGAAGGATAAGCCAAAGTACTGGAGCCTCAGCTTCAGGATCTGTCCTTCCAGTGAGCACTCAGGGTTGATTTCCTTTAGAATGGATAGGTTTGTTCTCCTGGCAGTCCAGGGGACTCTCAAAAGCTTCTTCCAGCACCACCTCCAGCACCACCTCCAGTTACGTCAGTTTTGAGGTAACTGAATCTTCAGTTACCTCAAAACAAGCCCACGCTGTAACAAAACTGTCAGTCCCTATTTTTGCTTTTAACTCTGTAAAGATGCTAAGACAATCGCAGCTACTTGTTTGATCACTATTTATTTACGACTTATTGATATACAGTATTTTATTTCCATCCTTCCCACTGCCATAGAACTCAAGGCACTTTGTTCAGGAACAGAAACTCGACTGATGTTGTTCCACTACTTTAGGCATAAGCCCTGAAATTTGAGGACTGAACCACAATTCCTGTGGCACATATGTATTTTTGAACAAATCCCATTTCACATGCAATTTAAGTCACCTCTATTACAACTGGACTCCAGGGACAGAACTCAAAGCAACAAAAGGGATGGATATTTTGGTTTTGATGGTTTTTTTAGTATAGTTTTTTAAATGTCTATTTTCCACAGGAGGAGGGGGAGGAATAGAGCTGGTTACGTCACCAAGCAGAGGAAATACATACCACTTCCTGTCTTGTAGAATAAGACTTCCAAAAGACCATATTGTGCAGTTTCACTCTGTGAAGAAAAGGAAGTAAACAAACTAGCATTTGGGACTTTGACATTTTCTACACAGTCATCTTCCAGACTTCTAGGGCTTTTAAAAACATTGATTCAAAATTAATTCTGTTGGGCCAATTTAGGCTCCAAAACTATACCCATATACATGAGAATTAATTTGACTGAATACATTGATATTTACTTCTATTCCTCTAGAACTTATACATAGGGTTGCATAATTAGTTTTTTATATTATTTGATTTAGGGAACTAGTATTTAGTTTAGTGTATCATGCCAGTCTTCTGTACTGCCTGCAATTTAGGAGTAGGACTTGGGAGACCTGAATTCAAATCATACTCTCTGATCTTAACCTATTTTAAAGGATTGTTGTCAGGATAAAAGTAAGAAGGAGGACCATTTCTCATAATACTGGAAACTCATCCGTAAAATGAATATGGGATAATCAAGGCAGAGGAAAGTAAATACAATATGAAATACCTGTATTTCTTTACACAATGTATAGTTAGGCTATGGAATGCACGATGTTAAAGACGTACCTTGACCTCCTTGGAAGAAAGATGAGAAACAAATGTATTGAAATGATGTTGGTGGTGATGATTATTACTACAAACTCCTCTTACTCCATGTACATTACAGGTCCCTAGTGTGAGAAGTGAGAACACGTAGCCTTTAACAAAACTTCTGCAATGGAACTAGCACATATATTACTGTGCAAAATTGAAGAGGCCATCGTAAGCCACAATTATCTAACCTACAGCAGCAAAACCAACAAAGGGCGTTGTGGCATCTTAAAGATGGATAGATGTATAATGTTGCCTGAATAATTACAGAAATAGAACTGACAGCTAGTTTCCGGCAGGGTCCTAGGAGGTTCATTGTTGTGATGAATAACCTTAAAAAGAACTGAACAGCATCAAAGCAAAGATGTAACTGGTCCCACTATCCTGTTCTCACAGCAGCCAACTTATTGAAAGCCCACAAGCAGGGCACGAGGGTAACTGCACCCTCCCACTCATCAGTTTATACAGCAACACACTACATCTGTAACCAAGGGTAACATACAGACATAGTGCATTGGTAACTATGAACTGATGTAATCCCCTTTAAACCCATTAAGGACAACATTATTCATCACTTCTTCTTATAGAGTGAATTCCACATTTTTACTGTAGAAAGAAGGAATTCATTTTGTCCGTCTGGATCATCCCACATTTTCTTTTCGATTCCAGTATTATCTGAAAGAAAGAAAGTTAGGAAACTCATCTCCACTTTTGCCATATTTATTATGACCACTTTTACAGGACTTTCCCCCCCAAACTAGGCCCCTCCCTTGATTTTTTTCCTCCCTTAAAGGATCATGCCCTTTTCTCCAACTTTTCCAAATGTAAAAATTCTTATTTGTAGAAGTTGTTCCCAAGAAAGATGATACAATGTGAACTATCCTTCCCAGCCTCACCTACAGAACCAAGAATGACTCTAATAATAATTAGATTGGGACCCTGAATAAGGGTATTTTTAAGTAAAAATATATTTTAAAAAAATTAATAAATACGCCGATTTCATTAAACCTTTGACACCGGCCTAACAGATTCTGTAACCATTATTGCCACCCTACGATTACGTAGAATGAGGCGGTCACCTACGCTAGCAAATTTTTAGTTAGTATTTTTAAAAAACTTTTATTTTACTGCCCTGTAGAAGGAGAAGCACTTGTGGTAGTTTTACCTCATACAGAAAAACAATTCAGGTAGGTGTGAGGTATGGTACATCTTGATTTGGTTTATTAAAAGGAAGCCATTTCCTGCTATAGGCAGCAAGTACTGTATCTTGGGTCAAGCCTCCTCCAAGTGAAACACCTCATTGTTGCAATGATAACAATGATAGAGGAGGAAGGCTATCAGGATTGACACTCCTGACCTTTCTGAGTATCAGGAAGCACAATATTATCTGCTCCCCATTCCCAGACTTTTGTCTTCCCTCTGGGCTCAGCTGCGATCCTCAAAGTAGCTGGGAGGAAAATAGAAATGTTCAAAGAAACAGATTACAGTATGGTTGCAACCTTTCCCTGCTGCAATGCAAACATTCTGCGGGTTAGTGCCATCCTGAATGAGCAATGAAGAGCCATTAACTTTAGCAAAGACCAATATAGAAATGTTCAAAGAAACAGATTATGGTTGCAACCTTTCCCTGCTGCAATGCAAACATTCTGAGGTTAGTGCCATCCTGAATGAGCAATGAAGAGCCATTAACTTTAGCAAAGACCTGCTCCTATTTTGGTTGCAAGGATCCGTCCAGCTGCCTGCACATTTTTTGACCCTCTTCTTCATGGTGTGGTGGGGGCGATGAAGGCTGCCACAACGAAGGGTTGTAAGGCCAAATTTATCACAGCACCACTGGTGAAAACAATGGGTATGAGTGGGAGACTCTGCCCTGTTCCCTCCAAACAACAGGCAACATAAGAGAAAGGAGGTTAGGAAGGCTCCCTTTCCCCATGCTGGACACCCCCCCCCCCGGACTTTCCCTTTAAAGAAAAGGCACTTATCCTCCGATCACCCCCTGTGAAACGTCCCCGCCTTCCTCAGAAACTCTGGTAACAAACAAGCGCCGCATGCTCAGGGATTCTCCCCGGGCCAGAAGAATTTTCCCACCAGAGGCGGGGCTTAACGGGAGAGCTCCGCCCCTGCCGCTTCCCCGTCACAGCGGAGGTGATAAAAGGGAGCGGAGGAGCCGCGATTCCCTCAGGAGGCTGCGGGGCTCGTGATGGGGCAGATATTCGCGAAACTCTTGAGCATTTTCGGAAGCCGCGGTACGGTGGCTCTGCACGTCTCCTCTCCTCCCCCGTTCCCCTTAATTCTTACCATGTCCTTGACTTGTCTTTTTTCCTTCTTCTTTTTTTTAAACTTTGCACATTATCCATCTTCTCTTGGGTCTGGCTTCGTTTTCCCTGCTCGCCTTGTTGTTTCCCGTTCTCCTCCGGCTTCCCTTTGCTCCCCTTCATGTTTTCACTGATTTGCACCCTTCCTTCCCCCCCCCTCCGCCTTCCAACTTTCTCTTCTCCCCTCCCCCTTCACTTTGATCGTATGAATTCCTTTTCCCTTTCATTTTTTTTTTTTTTTGAGCCTTCCTTTTCTTGTTCGGTTCTTTCCCGGGTGCTTTTACGTTTTGCTTCCATTTTCCTGCTCCGTCCTTCATTCCCGTTTGCTGGGTGTCTGCTTCCCTTTTCACCGGGCTTGTATTCCGTTCATTTCTATTCCGCTCCCATCTTTTCGCCCTTGATAATTAATATTTCTTCGAATATTTCGCTTTTCGCCTCATTGCCTACACGTCCCCCTTCTCGCCCCCTCGCTTGTTTTGTAAACCTGTTGTTTCTCCTTACCCATACTTAGTACTGTATTTTCCCCCTCTTTCGCTCTATTTCTTTTGCCAGTATTGCCTTTATTCTTTTTAGCTTCCGTGCATTCGCTGGTTTTATCGTATTCTTCTCTTTCGTGGCCTTTTTCCTCTTCATGTCCCCCGTTCTCTAACTTCTTTTTCTTCACTTAAAAAAAAATCCTCTCTCCCCCCCAATCTTTTTTTCCTTTCAAGGAATTTGATACCATATGGCTGGGTGAGATTTGATGGGAGAGGGAGCTCCCTGGCCTTCCTAACACACCAGCAGAACCATGGGTTGGTGGGGACGCAATGGCTTTTGTGGGGGGTATTCACCCCACTATATGTGGTGCAGATCGTGGCACTGTGTGTTGGGCTTGAATTGTGGCCATGTGGGGGCTGCAAGTGTGATGATGGGGTGGGGGAGAGAAAGAACGCTTTGTGTACAAATGAAATGGTGTGGGCAGGCCCATCCTGAAAGCTTGGAGGGCTTTTAATAATTTCTGTGAATTTTCCGGTTGATTACCTCTGCTATTTGTTGTTGTTATGTGTGTCAAGTTGCCTCTGATTCATGGTGATCCTATGAATAAGCAATCTCCAAAATGTCCTGTCTCCAACTACCCTGCTTTTATCAATTCAAGCCTGTGGCTTCCTTTAGACTAGAGTCCGTCTCATATTAGGACAGCCTTAGTTTCAACATTTTTGCCTCTGGAGATAGTTCAGGCTTGATTGGATCTAAGACTTGACCAGATTTCAAATGAATCAATTTTTCCCTCATATTAGGACAGCCTTAGTTTCAACATTTTTGCCTCTGGAGATAGTTCAGGCTTGATTGGATCCAAGACTTGACCAGATTTCAAATGAATCAGTTTTTCCCCTGTCAGCTCTCTTTAGATAATGAAAGCAATATACTTTTCTATATCACTTTGCACCATTGTGTTTCCTGAGGGACATCAAGGGGCATAGGAAGCTCATTGTACAGAGGTTCTCTAGAGACGGCACTTCTCATATGCTCAAAAGAGGGCATACGTTGCATGGTACACCTGCACAGTTGCCAGGTTAAACCTCCATCACTGGTGGTTTTGAGGCTATCTGAGGTGAAATATCTGAAAGCTTCTCTGAGGACTTTGAGTATAGTACATGGTACATGGTGGGCTACTCTTGGAAGCAACAGCTGATGAGGACAAAGTTTGCTGAAGAGTCAGGAATGCAAAGATAGCGGTGGAGAGGGAAGTCACACTTAAAACTAGATTTAGATATGTTGGAAAAGGGGGTTGCTGTGAATTCTTAATCCTTTTGCATCCAGACTGGGCAATGGAGAAACAGTAGTTGAGCTTGGACTGAACAGATCTGTTTCCTTTGGAAGTGTTGAGTCTTAAAATGAAATAGACATTGCTCGCCATTGATCACTGGGAGTGTGGGGGGGGGTATAGATTCATTGGGGGGGCTTGAGTTACACAGAGCCTATCATCTTTGTTTCATGTGATTTATTTGCTCAGGCAGGTGTTTGGTGGCAAGAGCCTTTTTCCATTCTTTGTTCTGACTGCCTTTCATGTTTGGTGTGGCCTTCTGTTGTTCTTAAACTGAAAAACTTCTGCTTGGAGTTTTTAAATTCCCTGTGGTTTTGGATGGGGGCCTGAAGCAATAAGGGACTCTGGTCTTACTGCCTGTTGCATGTTCAGGGATTTATATTTGCCCTCTAAATAAACACATTCCTTCACATTCACAAACACTTGCAGACCTGTGTTAAGAGACCCTTTCTTGAACGTCAATGTTTTTGTCACAAAACAGCACACCAAGAGCATATATGAAAATATTCAGGTATGTAACAGTAGGAAGGTCTCATTTGCAATGTCATGTTCACATTCAGGCTTCCATGCGTGTACAGTGTGTTAACTTGAACACAGAATTGTCCTGATCTAGTGAATGCATTCTAAAGGCAGCATAAGATTGGCTATACAGTATCGGAGTATCGGCTGTGTGCATGTTCCTGTTGCTTGGAAATGGGAGAGACTAAATCTGTCAGATGGATAGTGTGTGTACAAACTCATGTTGTTTCCCTCCCTCAGGTTCCTGTGTGTCATAAGCTTGGTGTATTAGGCACTGTTTGCGTTGAAGCTCAATGGCCTGTACATTGCACACAACCCGTTCCTGTTGCCATGGTTCTTTGACTTAAGGCCAATGTGTTGTGCATGCACACATTCATTTTTTTTGAGGTTCTTATAGGCTTGCACAAATTCCACATACTTTTATTCTCACAAATGCATATCGTAAGAAAAAGAGTCTAGGTTGCATCTGCATATTTCCTTAAACAAGCAGACATGCATAAAAGCAAGCCAAAGATGCTGCTGCATTTACCTATCAGTCTAAATCATGGTTTAGCACAACATACATGAACAAGAATGAACAATGCCTATTCTTGAGCTTTCGCACTCACCTCCTCCAAAGAGGAGTTTGGAAGGCTTTACTTTTGCTTCTGGTCAATCATAGCTTATTCTGTCATCCAGAACTGAATTGTGGTTAGTGTTAACTAGGGTTAGTTTATAACCAGCAACTTCAGAAATTATAGTTTGAAGTTGCCTCATTTTGAACTAACCGTAGTTAATTTTAGCCACAGTTAGTTGGATCTAGGCGTCATGACAGACTGTGGTTTAAGCAAGGGAGAAAGTAAATGCTTCTGAACTCCTTCCTCTTGGTCATGCAGAAGGAGAGGTCTGTGGGAGACCAAATAATGCTGTAGCTCATTCTTGCTTCTGTCCCTTGCATTAACTTGTGGCTTAGCATGTGCAAATATGGGCACTGTGTGTGTTTGCACTAGAGATGGGGGTATTCGTATATGAATATCCCTGCACAGGTGGCGGTAACGAGGGTCCACTCACCAATCCGATGCGTATGGCATGATTCTACCAGTGGCTGCGTAGCGCGCAACCCGCTCACCACTCCTGGCAGTAGGTGGGAGGACAAGCCTTGCTGCAAGGTCGAAGAGTGTCGAGTGGATTGCGAGCTGCGAAGCCATTGGTAGAGTTGCACTGTCCACGTCCGTGATGGATCGGTGAGTGGACCGTCCAGCCCCATGGGGCTGGACCCTTGTTAACACCAATTGTGCAGGGATATTCCTATACGAATACCCTCATCTCTAGTTTGCACTTTTTATTCATGTTTGGAGTCAGACAATGCAGACAGTACAGCTTATTATGTGAGTTTGGCTTTGACCTTTGTCTCTGGAGAAAACATATTCTTCCATTGTGTTGTTTCTTTACATTTTGAGTAGAATTTCCTTCCTTCTCCACAAAGCCATTTAGTGTTTATCTGATGAAGCTGCCAGACTTTTCCTTCGTAGAAAAAGAGCCAGCTTTTTAAAAATTGGGCTCTTTGCCAACAGAAAGAGCCTTATTCTTATTACCTGCTCTGGCCATATATGGAATTTTTTATCCAGGGACAAAGGGGCTTATGATGTATAGCTTGCAGTTGAAAGAAACATTCCTTGAAGCTTTGCACACACTAAAACCCCCTAGCAATTCACTAGAGAGAAAGTTATTCATAGGACTGTTGACCTGTAACCTCTGCCACAACCAGGTACAACTTGTTTGCTTTGTGTCCTGATTTCTTTGGTGTACTCAGTGACTAATTTGGTCAAAAGCGGTTTGTGGGGGTGGGTGGTGGGGAGGGTTGGGAAGAACCCTGAACAGGTTTTCTCTGAATAGAATGAGACAGAAGTGTTCAGGCCTTATACAGCTTGTGCCAAACTTTCTCATGTTTTAGACATCAACTGCATTCCAAACTGTGCCTTCTTGTCTTTCCTGTATTAGTTAGAGGATTAAAAAAATAGGCTTCCCCCCCTTCAGTCTTGTTTTGTTGGGTTTTTGTGTATGCCTTGTAATGCTTCTTTGAGCTCTGTGCGGTTCTAGGTTAACCACAAGATGTAAAGAACAGGGAGCCTAAGTGTAGGAGGGCACGGTGAGGGTAGCTAGTTCAGCCCAAACAGGGCCAATGGAGGATATCTGGGATGGTGTCTGTCAGAACTGGCAAAGTTACTTTCGAAAAGCCTTGTTTTGTTGGGTTCTTGTGTATGCCTTGTAATGCTTCTTTGAGCTCTGTGCGGTTCTAGGTTAACCACAAGATGTAAAGAACAGGGAGCCTAAGTGTAGGAGGGCACGGTGAGGGTAGCTAGTTCAGCCCAAACAGGGCCAATGGAGGATATCTGGGATGGTGTCTGTCAGAACTGGCAAAGTTACTTTCGAAAAGCAATGTTAGTAATTTGCTGAAATCCTGTTGCTTAGTGTAGTTAGACACACTAGAGTAGGCTAGTTGAATCAGTGGGGATTTGGTGAGTCACTTCCCCCTGTAAGTTCCATTGATTCAAGAGAGGCTCCTCTACCTGCATCTTAAGTTGCAACTAGAGTGGGCTCATTTGAATCAATGGAGGTTGACTCACCAAACTCCCATTGATTCAGTGGGCCTAGTCTAGTATGACTTACTACGCTAAGCAACAGGATTCTAAACTATTGTTTTAAGCCCCCTACCAAGGTATCAGATGCTGTAATAATTAGAAATTGGCATGAACTGCCTATTCGGTGGTTCATGCTGGTTCAGTGAAAGCCTGAACAGGTTTCTGTGGTTTGGCGCCCACCCCCTCAGGAGCCCACTCGAAAAGAGTGCACCGGCTTCCCTGCCCCACTTCTGGGAAGTGCTGCCTCTGTGTGGGCACCAACTTGTTTCAATTTATCTATAATAAAAGTTATCTGAGGGTGAATTGGTCTTGAACGGGCAATCAAAAGCTATTAGTTTTATAAAAGACCTGCTCTTCATTTGTTTATATGGACCAATCCAACTGCCTGCATTTCGGAACTCTTATTTTTGCGGAGTGACTATGGAGACTGTCATGATGAGCAATGGTAGTTCCAAATTTACCACTACACCAGTGGATGGCAAGCGAACTGGTCCAGGTTAGAGTATAACTCTTGTCTGCTCCAGCAGGCCTCCCTTGGCGGTTGGCAGTACTGTATAAGAGTTGTAATCCAAAACATCTGGAGAAGCCTCAGCATGCCTATCCTTGGTTCAAGTGCCAGACTAGGACTGGCAAGACCCCAGATGAAGTACCTCCTCACTCATGAAACCCAATGTCTTGGCATCTGTCCCATATCTTTTATTCCATATCTTTGGAATAAATTCCCAGGAGAGATTTGCTAGGTGCCATCCCTCCCAGTTTTTAAGAAGCTCCTTAAAATGGAATTGTTTAAAGCTTAGAATTGTTCTATTAACGTTTGCCATTTGATGCCCAACGGTGGTTTACATTTGTTTACTTATGACAGATTCGGCAGGCCATTTGGTTTTATTTTATTGTTCGTTGTTTGTCAGTGTTTATAACTGGTATTATATTATCTGTAATTTATACTTTTGCTGGTTATGAGCTGCCCAGATAATGTGTCTTTCACACTTAATTGGTTCACAAGTAAATCTTAGCCTGTCATGTTTTCTCAGCCTAATCTGTGCAAGAAGATTGTTGTGAGGATAAAACACATGTAGGATTGGGAAGTGGGGGTGGCGGACTCTGGGTTCCTTCAAGGAAGGCTAAGATTACAATGTAAGTCAAAATGTCAAATTATTTCTTCTGAATGGCGTGTGTTAGACTCACAGAATGACTGATGGCTTTAAATAAGTTTGTCTGGCAATGTTGATTATGTAATATGGTCTGTCTGTCTGTCTGTCTGTCTGTCTCTTATACTTATATCCCGCCCATCTAGTCTTTGACAGTTCTGGGCATCTCACAACAATTGAAATAAAAACAATTAAAATATAACAACAATAAACAATCATTCAAGACGGGATAAAAGGAAAAAAAATAGATCAAGTAATGCCCGGAGGGAAGGCCTGCCTAAATAGTCAGGTTTTAAGTTGGCTTTTGAAAGTACCCTGCGAAAGGGCCAGACGAATCTCGGAGGGGAGATTATTCCAAAGATGGGGAGCCATTGCCGAGAAGGCCCAGTTTCTTGTTTTTTCTTTCCGGGCCTCCCTCGGCGTTAGGCTCCTCAGCTGCACCTCCTGGCTAGATCGAGTGATACGGATAGATCTAGGTAGGAGGTGGTGTTCCGCCAGATAACTAGGTCCTTAAACGTTTAGGGCTTTATATGTAATCATTAAAACGTTGAAATCAATGCGGTATGGAATCGAACGGGCAGCCAATGCAATGCGGTCAGGGTGGGAGAGATATGTTGATGTTTTCTCACCCCACTGAGAAGTCTTGCCGCCGCATTCTGCACCATTTGAAGCTTCTGCATCAGTCCCAAAGGTAGCCCCACGTAGGGCGCATTACAGTGGTCTAATCTCGAGATTACAAGCGCATGGACAAAAGTGGTGAGTGCCCCAACATCAAGATACTGACACAGCTGGGCAATCCACCAAAGATGGAAATAGGTGGAGTGGACCACTGACGCCACCTGGGTTTCCATGGTGAGTGCTGGGTTCAGATGGATCCCCGAGCTGCGAACCTCACTCTTCACGGCAAGAGGCACCCCTTCAAATGAGAGGGAGTTTCCCAAACCGTTGATGGTGGGGCCACCCACCCTCAGGACCTCCGTCTTGTCCAGGTTCAGCCTCAGCCCATTTTCCTGCATCCATTGCAGTACAGTCTCCAAACAGAACAGCGTCCACTGTGGTTGGAGAAAAGGAGATGTACAGCTGACTGTCATCAGCATACTGATGGCACGATGCCCCACACCCCCTGATGACCCCATCCAGCGGCCTCATATAGATATTAAACAGCATTGGGGAGATAATCGAGCCCTGTGGGACCCCACAATTGAGGCTCCACGGGGCTGAAACCCTCTCCCCAAGCTGGACTCTCTGAGGACGGTCCTCCAAGAAGGATCGGAGCCAGGCAAGCGCCAGGCCACCAATTCCCAGCTCGGAGAGCCTCCTCAGGAGGATACCGTGGCCGACAATATCAAAGGTGGCTGAGATACCGAGGAGGACCAACAGAGACGTTTTACCCCTGTCAGCCTCCCTCAGTAGGTCATCCAACAGGGTGACCAATGCTGTTTCTGTACCATGGCGTGGCCTGAAACCCGACTGGAACGGATCCAGGGCATTTGTTTCATCCAAATAAACTGAAGCTGATTGGCCACCACCATCTCCACCAGTATACTAATGAAAGAAACATTGGCAACGGGCCTGTAGTCTAAGGAGCTTGTTAGCAGATCACCCTAAATCCCCTGATTATTCAAAGGGGGAAGAGAGTTGCATCCTACACGGATATGCGAGTAATATATAAGGTTGTGTCTTTTCAGTCAGAAGTTCACTCAGTAGCCATGTGGAAGAATTATGCTTCCTTTTCCTTCACCTATCTAACCATAATCCACAGGTACAGCTAAGGCTGAATATCTGGAGTAATAGTAAAGTAATGGACTGGAGTAATGGACTGCAGTACTAGTTCAGATTCTAAACAGGTTAAGGAAATCTTAACTATACTGTATATTTTTTAGAAACATGAATGCCTATTTTGAATGTCTCTTGTGTTTTTTGTTTCGCTCCAGAGCATAAAGTGATCATTATTGGCTTGGACAATGCTGGAAAAACCACCATCCTCTATCAGTTGTGAGTATTTCCTTTCCTTCTGCATTTCTGTTTAAATTCAATCTACTGGTCAGGAAGCTTGTTCAAAAACAAAGGTTCCGAGACGCTTAGGATTTAAGCAGAGTTGGGTGTAACTGCTGGAATGCATTTCAAGTACAGCTACTTGCAGCTCTTAAGTAACACAGCAGTAAAATAAATTTCTCAGGTTTTTGGACTATTTGAGGGAGTTTCATTGCTGGAGTGGCTTTTTAAAATGTTTTGTTACTTGTTGAATCTAGATCCATTACTTACGCAGCGCACTTCCTATTTGACCTCAGAACCAAGGGAAACAGCTGGTGCCAATTGCTTACCAGTGTAAACATGCTCTTACTACCACATGGTTTAATTAACTTTGAAAAAATTGCGAGTACCGGCAGCTATTCAGCCTAACCTGTTTCCTAAATGCATTGGGAGACTGAAATGAAAATGTATTTCTCCTCTTGGCATCAGTGGAGCTTTAAATTTGGCTGTTTTATGCCCCTGGTATTTACAGCATATTTGGAATCTGATGGCTGTTATCATAATGATAATAATAATGTGCCATCAAGTTAGTGGAGCTTTAAATTTGGCTGTTTCAGAAGATTATATACTGTATCATCCAGTCTGTACAAGACTATATAGAAATACATTTTCGTTCACATTGGAGCTTATTGTATTCTTAATGTCCGATAACTCATTAAATTGTTATTTATTTAATTTAAAAATATTTTTACCCTGCCTAGGTAGACAATACTCAGAAGTGGTTTACAATTCTACCATTCCCTTTTTCTGGGGGCACCCTGGGACTGTATAGCTTTGCCCAAAGCCACACAGGCAAGAGGCACAGTGGGGAATTGAATTCATAATCTCTGTCTCTGCAGGCAGATACTTAAACGCCACTGAGTTATATAAAATAAATTTAAATTAAATAATAACAATTTTTGAATAACAGGACGTTAAGCATACAATAAGCTCAAATGTCAATGAAGACTTGTTTCTAGTTTTGTACAGACTCAATGATATACCATCCTCTGAAACATTAAGAAACAAAAAAATTATTTAGAGTCCAACAGGTGTTCCAGAAGACTCTGACTAAACTAATGTTTCAGAAGACTATATACTGTATCATCCAGTCTGTACAAAACTATATAGAAATACACTTTCGTTCACATTGGAGCTTATTGTATTCTTAATGTCCGATAACTCATTAAATTGTTATTTATTTAATTTAAAAATATTTTTACCCTGCCTTTCTCCAAAATAAGGACCCAAGGTGGTTTACATCATTAAAAACAAAATAGTAAAATCTAAAAATAGTAAATTACGTATTCAAATATTTAAAAAAATTAATAGCTTTATATTAACATTAAAAACATTGCTAAAATAGTTTTAGAAGCACCAAAATATAAACTATCCCATTTATTGGCTCCTAGACAGTCAGTCAGAAAGGAAAAGCTTGCCTGAAGGGAAAGGTCTTTGCCTGATTGTGGAAGAATAGCAAAGTCCTCTTGTGGAAGGGAGTCCCAAAGTCTGGGAGCAGCAACAGAGAAGGCTTCTCTCCTGTGTCCCCATCAGACGTACATCTGAAGGTGGTGGGACTGAGAGAAAGGCCGCTCCTGATGACCTTAACACCGGGGCAAGCTCATAAACTGGGATGGTTTTTGAGATAGCTTGAACCCAAGCCATTTAGGGCTTTATAGGTTAAAAACCAGCACTTAAAACAAACTCTGGGGTCAACTTCCAGGCTCTTAGGCAACTCTAGGACGAATTGCATCACAATAGTCTAGTGAGCTACCTGCTCCATCAGGGCATATTTCTCTTCTACTTCCAAACTGATGCATCAGATGACTAAATAATTAGCTGTCTGCTCGCACACAAGATGTGGGTTATCAGACAGATATTTCTGACTGTCATGCCAGCATCACAGCATTCCAAAGTATTTGATCTGCCTTTCGTACCTCTCCACCAATGCTTTCTGCTTTTTTCTTTCTGTTCTTCAAGCTCCTCCTCTGTCTGTTCAGGTCTGACATTGAAGACAGTCTAGTTGAAACCGTCCTTGCTATGAGTGTCCACATTCATGGCACACTCTTTTCCCTCTTTGGCATCTGAATTTACAGATCTAATGATCATGTCACCATTTTTCTTTTACTTTGCAGGACATCTCCAGCATGGCAACATTCTGTTTATGGACTAGCTAAATAAGTGGGGTGTGGTTTATTGAATGGGGGTTCTTTTGCTTTAGAAGCAGATATTTTGGACTGCATAAGCCCCTCCTATCATAACCACCAGGGATTATGGGACCTCTAGTCCAAAACATCTGCAGAGCACCATGTTGGTTGTGACAGCAGATATAGTATAGGAAATATATTTGATTTTCCTTTGTTTATCGCTGATCTGCTCTGGTATAATCAAGACATGTTCATGGCTTCTGTAGATTTCCCCATTGTTTCCAAAATGCTTTGGATCCTGGGTTTGGAATGGGAAGTGGGGACTGCGTTTTTTAAATTTTATTTTTCCGGTTCTGTGGGCAAGGAATGGGGAACTATTGAGGCCTACATAGCAGCTTACTACTCTGTTATTCCACCAGCCTAATGAATGAGGTTGTACACACATCACCTACCATTGGCAGCAATGTAGAAGAAGTTGTCCTGCGGAAGACACACTTTCTGATGTGGGACATTGGTGGGCAGGAGACCTTGAGGTCTACTTGGAACACCTACTATTCCAATACAGAGGTGAGTTTTTCTTAGTGCTTGGAATGTGGATTTTTAAAAACAAAAACAAATAATCTATTATTTATTATTTATCAAGGTGTGGTAAAAAGATCCTTTGCTATTAGACTTCAAGGGGCCTTACCAGCACACTCATTTATTTAACCTTGATTAAGTCTTATGACTCTCTTTGGAAGTAATGTATCTCTCAGCTGCTAAGGAGGCTTGGTTTCTTGATTTCTCACTAAATTTCTTTCTTTCTTTTGGAGAGCTCACAAACCAGATTACTATTACACAAAGTCAAGGACATGGAGAAAGAAAATAAGTTGGCACAGGCAAATAGCAGCTGCTCACTTTTGGACTGCTGCTTAGCAGTACCTAAATAGCCTTCGATAAATTTATTTTCTTCTTATTGTAGAGCTTGAGGGGAAAATAACTGTTCTGGAACTTGTAGTCCAAAAAACTAACTTTTTCATTTGCTTGTGTTTTTAGATAGCTTTATTGAATTCCGCTCCCTCTAACTTTACTTAATTCTACTTTGCCTGCCTGTGTCCCAGACTGTTCAGAATGAGACTTTTAAAAATGTTTTCTAGACTTGATCCTTGTCTGCGTCATGGCTCCCCATCTGTTTTGGCAGAACAAAACTAAGTTGAGGCTTGTTCTTTGTCTGCCAGAAGCACATTCTTGACATTTCTAGATATGGAATGTGTTTTCACCCTTTTCTCTCCCCACTTCCCAAATCTTCTCTGTGTTTCTCAGTTTTTGCCTAAGCAGCAAATTAACAAAACCAAACAAGTTAACCCTTTTACCAATGTAAACTTGCAGTCCTAAATTTAGAATCTGTTTTTAGAAATTCCACATGGATTGTATATTACTATAAAGAAGGTCCAGAAAATATTATTGCCTCATTTATACTACCCTCCCCCATGGATGCAAGGTCGGTACTGAAATTGAAAATTCCTCAGTCTGTATAAATAAAGGGGATTTGATTGCATTCGTATATTTTACATACTTTTGTTGTGCCAGGGCCAGCCTTGCCGAACAAGGTGGCAGGTGTTGGGACAGCCACTGGTTCCCCGCTAGTAATTCTTTATGAGCTACCACCGCCCCAAGCCTGCCCCAAATACTTAAACAAAGCTTCTGCCCTCAAGTGTGGTGGAGGACTCAGTTCTGTCGCCACTGCTGAAATAAAATGTACAGTGGTGCCTCGCATTGCGACGTTAATTTGTTCCGCAAAAATCAGTGTAGAACGAAAACGTCACAATGCGAAATAAAAACGCCCATAGAAACGCATTAAAACACGATTAATGCGTTCCTATGGGCTTAAAACTCACTGTTCAGCGAAGATCCTCCATAGTGCTGCCATTTTCGCTGCCTCTTAAGCGAGGAATCTGTCCCAGAAAACAGCGGGCGGCCATTTTGAAACTACCGATCAGCTGTTTTAAAATGTCATTTTGCAATGCTCGGTTCCCTAAGCAGGGAACTGATCATCGCAAAGTGAAATTCCCCCATAGGGAACATCGCAATTGCTTTTGTGATCGCAAAAAATGTGTCGCAAAGCGATTTCATCGCTAAACGGAGCGATCACTATGCAAGGCACCACTGTACTTGCAAATCTAATCACCACCTGTATGCAAAACTGGAAAGTTGCTTTTGCAAAATGTCATGGGCCAACTCTGGCTACTACAAGCAAAGGGCCAGATCCAGCAGCTTTATGGTTTTGCTGGGCAGTAAATGTTTTTCAAGATGTTAACTGGACCTGTAAGGGGAAATTTGCATGATGTTTACAAGTCTTCAGAACACTTGGTAAGTGCTGTCTTCCACAATATCAAACTACAGTGGTGCCTCGCACAACGGGTGCCTCACACAACGATGAATTCACACAACAATGTCTTTTTCTGTTAAATTTGCCACCTCACACAGCGATGTTTCCTATGGGGGATTTTCACACAACGATGTCTCTTTTTCATTCCTGTAGAAGTGTCTTACAATGTTTGGAAGCTGTTTTAAATGCTTGCAATGGTTAGCCCACCTCCTGAAACCTATGCAAACTGATTTTGGTGTTGTTCTGACACTTCGTTAATTTATGGTAATTTTTTGTTTTCTCCATTGAAAACCATTAGACAGACCGTTCAATGGTTTCCAATGGAGAAAATTCAAAAAATCACCAAAAATTAACGAAGTGTCAGAACAACACCAAAATCAGTTTGCATAGGTTTCAGGAGGTGGGCTAACCATTGCAAGCATTTAAAACGGCTTCCAAACATTGTAAGACACTTTTACAGGAGCGAAAAAGGACTTCGCAAAGCCATTGAAATGTACAGTATTGAGTCGGCTTCAATACATTCCAATGGAGGAAACATTGTTTCACACAGCGATGTTTCCTATGGGGATTTTCACTCAGCGATGGCAATCCGTTCCAATTGGAACGGATTAACCGGTTTTCAATGCATTCCTATGGGAAATGGTGTTTCACAGAACGATGTTTCACACAACGTTGATTTTTTTGGAACCAATTAACATCATTGTGTGAGGCACCACTGTATTCCTTAAAAATAGGTAAGCATTAATATTCCTGTATCACAGATTGGGAAACAGAGAAATTACGGCTTCCTTAAGGCCATCTAGTGAGTGCACAGCAACAAGGACAGGCCCTTAGGGTAACAATATGGGAGAGCCAGGTAACTGAAAACAAAAGAAACTACTGCTGGCCCCAAGCTAATTTATATTTTTTTTCTTTGAGCTTCAGCTGAGTTGTGTTGTACATGGGTTTAACAGAATTAGATTGTGACTACCCTGGAGATGTAGTGATTTGATTTGCAACCTGTATCATGCTTGAAATCACACCCAGTGCTCACACAGGGGCTGTGGATTGATTTGAGAATTCACTGTTCCTACTGGATGCCATGCGATTCGCATTCCAGCCCATAGGCCCCCCCTTCCTTTCCTTCCTTCCTTCCTCTGGTCACACCTCTGTTGCTCTGATGGGGAACTGACAGGAGTGTGGATATGGGGAATAATAATAACGATCAGGTGGTAGGGTGATCCCATGCTAATCTCATATATGTAATTTTTTTAAAATTAAGAGGATGATCAGGGAGAGGGAAGAATGCGGGTGGCATGTTCCCTCTCTCCTGAATTCTGTGCTCCAATTACATACATCACCAAAAGACCACCTACAGACATGCCACCCCCCCAAAAAAATCTTTACAAGAACATATCACATAACTAACCACAAGGGGGAAAGCCTGTTTGAATTGTTCCAGCTTGAAAAGAAAAAACTCCACAGCAGCAGAGAAAAAATGCTTTGGGAAAACTAAAGGGCTGGACCCATTTGAATCAACCTTTGCATCATGGGAACCAAAAAAAGTACTTTGAATTCACCCATTTATAAGTGGAGCAAAACCTGTAGTATTTGACCATGCAGTTGAAATCTTAGTTCATTATGGATACATGGGCTGTCACTCCCAGTGCAGGCCCACAAGAATGTGTGAGAAGCAGTTAAAATCAAGTAAAGTTTTGTTGAGAAAGCTACTTTTAAGATAGAAACACCTAAATGATCGATGTGCGCTTCGTTTTAATAATATCAGTATACAGTTGGGAGGAAGCAGTGATCAGAGATACAAAAGGACAGAGTAGCTGTTCTATCATCTATTCCCAACCCCCTTTCTGATAATGTTGGGTTAGCGAGGGTGCTAAGAGGCAATGCTTGGAGGCCACCACAGGGTGCCATTTTGATTGCAGTAAGATTAGCAGTCAGAAAATGGAGACTGCTGTTGGTCTATGAAAGGAATGGTGTTTTAATACCATCTTCTTAAGTTGACAGGATCTGTTGCTAAGACAACTCATAGGATGGATATTTTCTGCTTCCCTATAGTTTGTCATTCTTGTGATCGATAGCACGGACCGCGAGCGGCTGACAATGACGAAAGAGGAGCTATACAAGATGCTCGCTCATGAGGTGAGTCTGTCTGCCAGAGCATACAGAGAGCTGCCTTGTGGGAGACCTTCTGTACTGTTTTGAGGACTTTTTGCGCACTGTATATTACTGGGACTATTTGAAACACAGACTAGCCTGACTAAGGCATCCTCAGTGTACTGATAGAGAGGGAGGAGTCTCAAGATGAAAAAAAGAAGGATTTTGAAATGTGAATAATCATTAGGGAGAGGATATCTATGTCATATTCTGTATTTTTCTGCAGCCTATGTTTGAGCTTATGGGTGGATTTGAACACATTTATGAGTAATCTGGTGAGAAAAGCCAGATATACATATTTGAACTTGTTTATGGGTTCAAATGCAGGTTGTAGATAAAATGTGAAATTTCATAGAAATCCTCCCCCTAATACTGTAATAATAGTAAGAGGAGGAGCACCAGCAACAGGAATTTTTATTTGTTAAAAACACCCTTTTTCAGGGTTAATAAACAGCTGCACCAATAGAAATTTCTGGTAATTTATTTCGGTACCTCACGAAGGGGGAGCTGGCCTGTTTTACTACATGGCCAGAAACTCATTTCCTTTGACATCTTGAGGCGCCGTCTCTCCTTGCACACTGGGTTTCACCTGAGCTACAGATGACATTACAAGGGATGGGAGGATCCTGAGGCCCCTGAACAAACTGTCCCATTTCAGTCTGCACTGAAAATTGGGGGAGGGGAAATATTGAATATTACTCTATCAAAAGTACCTTCCTGAAAATAAAAAGCCAGCTCAGAAAGTGGGCTCGCAGTAAAACCTTTCTCTCTGTCGAATTACTATCCATTCTGCTTTCTCAACCTGCCTGGCCAGGCCTGATTGAAAGATTCTTTGACCACTAACCACATTTGCAAAGAGACCAAAATGTTACAAATAACATGCGCCCGCGTGCAGGGGTTGGCAGACGCTCCTGCACATGCACGAAGCGGTGGGGGAGCGTGTGCGCGCCTCTGGCATCTGTGATCCCCCACTGCTTCATGTATGCGTCCGAGAGTGTGAGCGCAAGGCGCTGCCCCACCTCCCTCAGAGGCTCAACCCGTCCATGGTAAGAAAAAGGTTGATGACCTCTGCACTAGAGAAATATATATATCTACTATGTCATTACCAGAACTGACCACGAGAGGGAGCGAGAGACCATGCTATGTAAGTTTCAGCACTAGAATGTAGTCAAGAGCAAAGATTATGTTGCATTCTGTTTCCATGTTGGGATTTTATTATACATTAATTTGGGAGCAAAGGAGAGACAGAAGGAGAAGGGACTCAAGATGGTGAATGACCACTAAAACACACACATATGTTCAAGATTACAGTATATTACGATATAAGTATTAAAAAGCAACTATACTTAAATAATGTTTAAAAACCCAGTAATGAAAAAAAATTAAAACATATTAAAAACAACATGATAAAAATATGTTTTATCCCCACCTAAGAACTCCAGAGCATTAACAGATTAAAATATAGTTTTAAAAGGAAAGTTTTTGATGGCTGGTAGAAGGACTGCTAGGAATGGATCAACCATGTGGGAGGACACATTATCCTGCCTCTGGCTCTCTGAGAACTCTTTTTACTGAATAATTTCCACAATCAGATATGACTTTTGAATGAAAAGTTTTGTTGGTCATTTCTGAGATTTGGGATGGGCAGTGTTTTATATCCAGGGGCTGGCAGAGGAAGGTAAACAGCATCAGCTTCTCCCTTTTTCTGCCCAGGACCTACGTAATGCAGCTGTGTTGATATTTGCCAACAAGCAAGATATCAAGAACTCCATGTCTACCTCTGAGATCTCCAAGTTCCTCACCCTGAGCTCCATCAAAGACCATCCCTGGCATATTCAAGGGTGCTGTGCACTCACAGGAGAAGGGTGAGTAGTACTACTTACTTCTATACACCTTCAGTGAGGCCAAGAAGAAAGTTTTATACCTGGAATGATTGATCAAGAAAACCCAGCAGTGGGAGGCAGTTCAAAGGTGGAACTCTGATGATCTCAGCTTTAGAGACAGGCACTTAACTGCAGTTCACTGGATCAGGACCCCACACCCTGTCTCCTCCCTTGGGCACCAACTCATAGGAGGAGATGGCGCAAGGAAGCGCGCGCCACTGCTTCTGACAGGGAGCCCACACAAAACCTTTGGGCCTGATCTACTGGACCTCATTGCAGCACTGAAACATGTTAAGGGCCCACCACTAATCAGCTTTAACGACTTATCAAGATTCTTGGAATAGAAGCTATTACCTATCTTCCATGGGAAAGGACAGAGCAAATGCTTTTACGTGCAGAAGGCCCCAAATTCAGTCCCTGGTACCTCTAAATCACCGGGTTGTAGAGAACAGGAAAGTCCTTTTATTGGAGAGCTGCTGCCACTTAGAGTCATACTGGGCTGATTGGACTGCATAAAGCAGGTTCCTAGGTCCATGTTGAGGTTCTGTTGGTTTCTTAGCTGCAACACTGCTATTTTGAACTTTTGCTATTTTCTAGGAAGTGCCTCTGTTAAAAAAATATATAATTTAGAAGACTGCTGACAATCTATGCCAATCATCTTATGAGATGTTCTGTGTGTGTGTGTGTTTGTGAGAGAGAGAGAGAGAGAGAGAGATTCATAGCACTCTAGAACTTGGACAAGAAGTACTCATTAGTCCTAGCCCGCTCACCCAGCTGTAAATAGTCACGGTCAGTAGCATTTACACAACCATCCATTTTCCCAACCAGGGTCACATCATATGTATACTTCTTCCTTTAGAAACCCAGTGTGGAGTAGTACTTTGCAAATTAATTTGCTTGGATCTGCTCTGACTTACATGCTGTTACTTTTTGCAGGTCCCTGTTTTTGAATCAGGTAGGTTTACCCCTTAAAAAGAAAACAAAACCTGCTTAAAAAGGGGGAAAAAACAAATCTCTCTTGGAAAGCAGTTCTGGATTCCAGCTTTTCAGTACACTACTAACCCTTCATTTCTGTTCCCTGCAGCCTTCCAGCTGGTTTGGAATGGATGATATCTCGAGTTGCTGCCAAGTGATGTCACCCAAAGCCATTGTACAAAAAGGAATTTTTTTAAAAAACTCATGTGTATTTATTTTGACTTTGCAAAACTCTCAGGACTTAATAGACTTTAGTTGGCCTTTTTCTTCTCAAAGTCAACAGAACTTAATTTTATACTGTTTTTAAGAATATGAAATATTGCAGAAGATGGTGATGAACCATACCTGTCAAGGAAAGGGATGGACAAATCTTCTTGAACTGTATCATGTTGTCACACACCATCAAGTTGCCTCTGACATACGATGACCTTCTGAATGAGCAATCTCCAGGATGTCCTGTCCTCAACAGCCCTGCTTAGCTCTTGCAAACTCAAACCTCTGGCTTCCCTTAGGGAGTCAATCCATCTTGTATTTGGTCTTCCTTTTGTTGCCTTCAATGATCTCTAGTATCACTGTTTTTTTCCAGGGAATCCTGCCTTCTCATGATGTGCCCAAAGTAGGACAGCTTCAGTTTCCTCATTTTTGCCTCCAGAGATAGTTCTGGCATGATTTGCTCTGGAATCCACTTGTTCAATTTTCTCGCAGTCCAGGATATCTGCAAATCTCTCCTCCAACACCATATTTCAAATGAATCAATTTCCCCCCTGTCAGCCTTCTTTATTGTCTAGCTTTCACACTGTACATTGTGATCAGAAATACAAGAGTGTGGATGATCTTGGCCTTGGTCTCAGCAGACACATCCTTACACTTGATTATCTTTTCTAATTCCTTCATTGCTGCCCTTCTGAGTCTCAGGGTGAAACTACTTAGTCTCCACCTGATTCTTGGATACAGTCTCCATTTGGATTGACGAACCGTATTGTACTGTATAGGAAAAGGAACAGACTTCAAACCATTATAAAGGAAAGCAAACGTGAAAGCTTTACCCCTGTACTCTTCTTGACAAAGTAACATGCCTTAAAAATGCCAGGTACAGATGAGTATGAAAATGGTAAGCAGGAAAACAAGTTCCCTCCCACCCAGTCATATGAAAATACTTGGCCTTACTATTGTGTGATCAATGACCTATGGTACAGCATGCCTTAACTTTTCACTGTAGACATACCTAGGCTGTTTTCAAACTTAAGAAAATGCCTTCTGGGGCAAGTGTCATCTGGTTCTCCTTATTCTCCAAGGGTTGATCCAATTTCTTTGTGTATTGTATATGTGACCTTATAGGTTCCTTTCCTTCCTGTTCCTTTTGAGTAAGGCCCTGCCTTAAAGGACATCAGACTGGCTAATATCATGAAAGAATCATGCTCATGGCTGTTTATTTGGAGGGTTTTTCTTAAAATGTCAAGACATCTTGGGCAAGAAGTTTGTAAGAAGCCACAACATTAAAGACAAAAGAGCTCCCACAACAGCCTTAGAAACATTGTATGAGAAAATACTTTCTTCCATCTGATGAAGTTTTGTTCTCTCTCTCTCTCTTTTTGCTAGATGATGCAGTTTGGTTTTGAAGTTTGTGCATACTTTAGGGGAGTGTACAGAAATGAGGAACTAAATTGCCCTTACGTTGTAAACCAGGGATGGACCATATGTGTCTTTCCAGAAGGTATTGGAGCACAACTCCCATGATGCATCACAAGTGATTGTGCTGATTTGGGATGATGGGGTGCTGTAGCTTAATGACAGCTGGAGGGCAAGACGTTGTAAATATCTGTTTGGAAGGTGCATGGCAGTCCATTGGCAAGCCACATAGGAAGAGTGACAGAATAGATGGGACATTAATTACATGCTGTAAATTTATGCTATGTATTTGCGCAAATTAACATACCCTGAAGGATGCAAACATCGTCACATTGTATAAGAATAAAGGAGATAGGGGCGACTGCAATAACTACCGTGGCATCTCTCTTCTCAGCGTTGTAGGGCAGCTGCTTGCCCGTGTTGTGCTGAAGAGACTCCAGGTGCTTGCAGATAGTCTATCCAGAATCACAGTGTGGATTTCAAGCTAATAGATCCACCACTGACATGGTATTCTCCCTCAGACAATTGCGGGAGAAATGTAGGGAACAACAACAGCCTCTCTTTGTGGCCTTCATAGATCTCACAAAGGCCTTTGATTTGGTTAGCTGGGAGAGTCTCTTTAAAATACTTTCCAAGACTGGATGTCCACCTTGACTTCTTAACATCATCAGGTCCTTTCATGAGAGAATGAAGGGCATAGTAGTTTCTGATGGCTCAACATCAGATCCCTTTGACATCCGAAGCGGAATGAAACAGGGCTGTGTCCTTGCGCCGACCCTTTTTGGGATCTGTTTTTCTGTCATGCTGAAGCACGCCTTTGGAACTGCAACAGATGGAAAGCTCTTTAATCTCTCTAGATTGAGAGCAAAGACCAAAGTCCAGGTGAAATACATGCAGGACTTCCTCTTCACAGATGATGCAGCCGCTGTTGCCCACTCTGCTGAAGACCTCCAACAACTCATGAATCGCTTTAGCAAGGCCTGCCAAGACTTTGGATTAACAATCAGCCTGAAGAAAACACAAGTGATGGGCCAGGGTGTAGACTCACCTCCCTCTATTACCATCTCCACACAAGAATTGGAGGTTGTTCATGACTTTGTGTACCTTGGTTCAATGATCTGACACTCTGCCTAGATGTCAAGCTGGACAAATGCATTGGCAAAGCAGCTACCACGTTCTCTAGACTCACAAAGAGAGTATGGCTTAATAAGAAGCTGACAGCATATACCAAGATCCAGGTCTATAGAACCTGTGCCCCGAGCACACTTCTGTACTCCAGTTAGTCCTGGACTCCTTGTGCACGGCAGGAGAGGAAGCTGAGCATATTCCATATGCATTGTCTCTGACGCGTTTTTGGTATCACCTGGCAGGACAAAGTTCCAAATAGAGGAGTCCTAGAACGAACTGGAATTTTTAGCATGTATACATTACTGAAACTGCGACTTCTACCTTGGCTTGGGCATGTTGTGAGAATGGCTGACGGTCAGATTCCAAAAGATTTCCTGTATGGAGAATTAGTGCAGAGAAATCGCCCTAGAGGGAGACCACAGCTGCGATACAAGGATAGCTGCAAGCGGGATCTGAAGGCCTTAGGAATGGACCTCAACAGATGGGAAACCTTGACATCTGAGCGTTCAGCCTGGAGGTAGGCGGTGCACTATGGCCTCTCCCAATTTGAAGAGACCCTTGTCCAGCAAGCCGAGGCAAGGAGGCAGTTACAAAAGCAGCAAAATCAGGGAGCTGGACGGGGACAGATTGTATTTGTCTTCAGTGTGGAAGGGATTGTCACTCTTGAATTGGCCTTCTCAGCCACACTAGATGTTGTTCCAAGTCCTCCATACAGAGCCTGTTACAATACTTTCTCAAGACTGAAGGATCTAATCTATGTTATGTCTGAGTAAATGTATGAGCGGCAGATGTAGAATTATAGTATGATGGTTGCTTAGAATTTCAGATTACAGGTTCTGGAATGTTCAAGCAGTAGCATTTTAACAAAACACGAACACTAACACAAAGAACGACCCCAGTACAGTCCTTTGCTCACTCTGTTGTCTTTCTGTTTGCTTTAGTTTGGCCTTTGGTTTCCTGGAAGTCACCCATTCCTCTTGAATGTTGATCAAAGGTTGGGCAAAGTGTAGCCAGCAGGGCACAGGACATTCCCATGGGGTCTGTCTAGTATAGCCTTCCCAGACACTAGTTTTCCCAAAGAACCCTGAAAATGTGGGGAGGGGGTGATAAGGATACAGTTTAGCCCTGTAAAGGCCAGTGGGGGAGATGTCATCCTTAAAAGATCTTTTTTTCAATACTAGAAAGCCTTAAAAGACCTTTTTCCCACCCAAAACTGGAAAGTTTACAGTCATGCCTCGCTTTACGATTGCCCCGCATTGCAACGAAACCGCATTATGACAATCTTTTTGTGATCGCAAAACAATGGTCTAAATGGGTTTTTTTCACTTTGCGATGATCGGTTCCCTGCTTCGGAACCGATTCTTCGCAAAACGACGATTTTAAAACAGCTGGGCGGCAGTTTCAAAATGGCCACCAGGTAAACAAAATGGCTCCCTGCTGTTTTCTGGGACGGATTCCTCTCAAGACAGGCAGCGAAAACGGCTGCCCTATGGAGGATCTTCGCTGGATGGTGAGTTTTGACCCCACTGGAATGCATTGAAGGGGTTTCAATGCATTTCAATGGTTTTTTTTCACTTTACGATGTTTCCGCTTAACGGTGATTTTCCTGGAACGGATTATCGCCGTTAAGCGAGGCACCGCTGTACTTCTTATGACAGGGCCTAAAGGGCTAAAATGGTTTGGGACAAATTGTGGGAGGCATACTTTTTACATGGGGGGTGGAGATTCACTACCCTAAGTATTTACAGACGTGCACAACTTCCAAAGTGGTGAAGGAGGTCAACAGTGGACCCTAGATTGAGTTAGTCCATCTGGAACAGCTTGCTGAAATGTGATTCCTCCAGTAACAGGGGTGGGTGATTTCCAAATAACCAAGGGCCAGTTTTCATTTTGGCTGGCATAGTATGTGGATTCCCACCCTCATCCCCCAAAAAACAGTGGAAATTGGTGGTGCAGGTTCCCAGCCATTTCTCCTTTTTTCAGCAGCTATTTGATATTTAAGTTTATTTTACCTTACTTGGTTATTAAACATTACTTACTAATCATAATTTTGTTTAAAATGGATGTTCTTTACATTAAACCAGGAGGCGTTCAAACTATGTTAATTGAGACTGTTTATTATTTACCATTACATAATACTACCGTTAGGGACTCTCTAGTATCAGAATCACAGTTGTGAGATTCTCTGCTAGCTAAATAGCCCCCAGCCCTTGTATCCTGTAATAGGAAACAAAAAAGCAAAAAGCGTGTTTCAAGCACTCTCTGGGCAGTTTACAAGTTAATTATGCAGGCTACACATTCC